TGAGAGACCGAGCAAAAGAGCGTTTTTTTCTCTGTTTATATATATATATATATATATATATATATATATATATATATATATATATATATATATATATTTATTTATTTATTTTAAACAACACATAACCAATGTTTTAACTTTTTTAGCCATTTTTTCCCCATTTTTTTCACAAAAAAAATGAAAAATTTGTTTGAATTTAAACAGTTTTCAGTTATTTAAAAAGTATTTTACAAATAGTATGAATGATTTATATACATATAGTATTGAATAGAATTCAAATGTATTACATCTGTCACATTATTGTTGCAATGTATTGGCCCTCTCTGCCATTTTTCGATTATGCCAACACCTCTTCAGTGGGCTCATGGGATTTAAGTAAATTTATATATAATTTTATTAATTTATTTATTTATTTTTTCATTCAAACTCATACCTAACAAATCTACTAAATCCACAGTAAATCCAGAAAAAAACTGTTTTAAGAGGTCTCTTAATATTTACATTTATATTTAAATATATGTACAAATTTATTTGTAGATTTTGAGGTGAAATACGGTTCTGCCATTATTTTCTCCACAGCTTTTGCACGATTCGCTTATTAGTGCTTGTAAAAATACGACTGGACGAAAGCAGTGACCTTTCTGACATGCTCAAAATAACACTGATACACAAAAAGACAGCAAACATGACAAAAAAAACACATAATAGTCAATAAAAAATGACATTACTCTGATCTGTAAATTAATCTAGTGCCAAAGTCACTATAGTACATTTCAAAACAATGCTAGAACACTCTAAATGTGACGTATTGCTACATCAAAGCTCCTGCTAAGGTCTGAAGAAAAAAAAATGAATCATGATCTCCAATGACACAGGATCATCTTTGTTTGGTTGTTGGCCAGATTTATAAAGGCCATTGTGACAATAGGAGACCAATTTAGGATGGATAACCTGTCGAATAATCTCTTAAAGGAACAGTTCCCCCAAAACAAAATTAACTCATTATTTATTCTCTCTCAAGTGGTTCAAATTTTTAGAAATATCATCCATAGTTGGGAAAACAAATACTATAAAAGTCAATGTTAACTGAATGGTTCTGAAGAAGATGACGGAATTTTCAGTTTTGGGTGTACGGTCCCTTTAAATTTAAACTTCAGGCTGTAAATCTATTAGGAAAACAAATGAAGAAGTCTTTCTCGATCAACCATCTCATATACACAAAACGGTTCTTCCCTTTTGCTTTTTCATATTTCAATCCCTTCCTTTTTTTGTTTGTTCAGTGATTTCAATCATTACAAACAAATAAAAAGTTGAGTCAACTTGAAATTCTATGGCTGCACAGCTTTGAGTTAACTGCAGATGACACAATTTAAGTGTAGTCTACTCCAAAAAAAAAACTGTGCAGCCTTACAATTTGAAGTTAACGCAACTTAAAATTTTAAGGCTGCGCAGCTTTTTTTTTTTTTTTTTTTTTTTTTTTTTGAGTTGACTCAATTTTTAAGCCAAGTAAACCATATGACATAATTTAAGAGGAGTCAGCTAAAAAAAAACTGCAGCCTTATAATTTTAGGTCCAGTCAACTTAAAATTGTAAGGCTGTGCAGATTTTTTGAGTTAACTCGACTTTTAATCCTTTTACTGCAGATGATACGATTTAAGTGGAGTCAACTCAAAAAACTGTGCGGCCTTACAATTTTAAGTTAACTCGACTTAAAATTGTAAAACCGCACAGTTTTTGAGTTGACTCAAATTTTAACCCAAGTACAGCAGATGACATGACTTAAGTTGAGTCAACTCAAAAAAACTGTGCAGCCTTACAATATTAAGTCAAGTCAACTTAAAGTTGTAAGGCTGCACAGTTTGTTTGTTTTTTTAGTTGACTCCACTTTTAACCCAAGTACAGCGGATTACATGATTTAAGTGGAGTCAACTCAAAAAACTGCGGCCTTACAATTTTAAGTTGACTTAACTTAAGACAGTAAAGCTGCACAGTTTTTTAAGTTGACTCCACTTTTAACCCAAGTACTGCAGGTGACACGATTTAGGTGGCGTTTACTCAAAAAAAAAACTGTGCAGCCTTACAATTTTAAGTCAAGTTAACTTAAAATTGTAAGGCTGCACAGTTTGTTTGTTTTTTGAGTTGACTCCACTTTTAACCCAAGTACAGCAGATGACACCATTTAAGTGCTGTCAACTGAAAAAACTGTGCAGCCTTACAATTTTAAGTCCAGTCAACTTAAAATTGTAAGGATGCGCAGCTTTTTCAGTTGACTCAACTTTTAACCCAAGTACTGCAGATGACACGATTTAGGTGGAGTTTACTCAAAAAAAACTGTGTAGCCTTACAATTTTAAGTCAAGTTAACTTTAAATTGTACGGCTGCGCAGTTTTTTTTTTTTTTTTGAGTTCCCTCGACTTTTAACCCAAGTACTGCAGATTATACGACTTCAGTTGAGTCAACTCAATTTTTTTTTGTAATACAACTTTTTTTTTGAGTTGACTCAACTTTTAACCCTTTTTAAGTACAGCGGATTACACGATTCAAGTAGAGTCAACTCAAAAAACTCTGCAGCCTTACAATTTTAGGTCAAATCAACTTAAAACTGTGTAGCTGCGCAGCTTTTTTTGACTTTACTCAACTTTTAAGCCAAGTACTGCTGATGACACGATATAAGTGGAGTCAACTTAAAAAAAACTGTGCAGCTTTACTATTTTAAGTCGAGTCAACTTCAAATTGTAAGGCTACACAGCTTCTTTAGGAATTGACTCAACTTTTAACCCAAGTACTTCAGATGACAGGATTTCAGTGGACTCAACTAAAAAAACACTGTACAGCAAGTTGCCTTACAATTTTGTTGTTGAGTCAATGTTAAGTCAAAGTTGTTTACTTGAAGCTGAGTTAATGTTTTTTACAATGAATCTTTTACACCTTCCTGGTCCCTTTCAACCCAGTCTTTCATGGTGCTTCAGATGGGGATCAAATGTAAAGGCACTGGGACCCTGAAGACAACCAGTGCAGTGGTTTCCCACTTCTCCACCCTCAAAACCTCAAGAATTTGGCTTTTGTCTCTCCAAATCCGAGGTATTTGAAATTAACAATCCAGAACAGAATACCTCTCTCTCTCTCTCTCTCTCTCTCTCTTTCTACGCTGGATCTGTCAGTTTTTGAAGGCCCCGTAGCGGCTGGCTTTGCTGATGAAGTTCTTCAGCAGGTCGTGGTCCATGTCAGCGAAGGCCTGCGTCTGAGTGACAGCCGTCAGGTGGTTGACGCAGAACTTGAAGCAGAACTCCTCCAGATCCTGCACATGGAGAGCGGACGCACGGATTCAGAGAGAAACAGAACCACCACCAAAGACCTACAGAATAATACATGAAACCGCAAATATATGTACATGTTTAGGCTCTGCTCCAAAACCTAATGCGCTGGCTTGCTAGACTACAGCTTTATACATCATACAGTATGTGTGTGTGTGTGTGGTTAAGGGATAAGATGACATTTTGGGACTAGACGCAGTCGTAGGTTGGTTCTCAGTTAAAATGAGTACAGTGCATTTGAATTGTTCTTGAATTTCAGGCATACATTCAAGCATTATTATTTACCTTAAACTGGAATGATTTACAACAAACGTATAGTTTAGAGTAAACTGAACGCATTATTATTGTAAAATTATGCAAAATGCTTAAATGTGATGGGGAACAGTCATGCCATGTGGTGTCTGGTTTTAGGTTAGCATCTTGAGCTAAAGCACAACTCAACTCTGTTACTGTCGACTCTGTTACGGTTGACTTTGCTACAGTTGACTCTATTTAGTCGACTCCATTACTGTTACGCTCAACTTCGTTTTGGTCAACTCTATTACTGTTTTGGTCGACTCCATTAATGTTCTGGTCGACTCCATTACTGTTACAGTCGACTTCGTTATGGTCAACTCCATTTCGGTCGACTCTGTTACTGTTTCGGTCGACTCCGTTACTTTTTCGTTCGACTCCGTTACTGTTTCGTTCGACTCCGTTACTGTTTCGTTCGTCTCCGTTACTGTTTCGTTCGACTCCGTTACTGTTCCGTTCGACTCCGTTACTTTTTCGTTCGACTCCGTTACTGTTTCGTTCGACTCCGTTACTGTTTCGTTCGACTCCGTTACTGTTTCGTTCGACTCCGTTACTGTTTCGTTCGACTCCGTTACTGTTCCGTTCGACTCCGTAACTGTTTCAGTCGACTCTGTTACTGTTACGGTCGACTTCGTTTTGGTCGACTCCATTAATGTTACGGTCAACTCCATTACTGTTACGGTCGACTGCTTTATGGTCAACTCCATTTCAGTCGACTCCATTTCTGTTATGGTTGACTCTGTTACGGTAGACTCTGTTACTGTTTCGGTCGACTCTGTTACTGTTACAGTCGACTTCGTTTTGGTCGACTCCATTACTGTTACGGTCGACTCCTTTATGGTCAACTCCATTTTAATCGACTCTGTTTCTGTTACGGTTGACTCTGTTACGGTCGACTCCGTTAATGTTTCGGTTTACTCTGTTATTGTTACGTCGACTTCGTTTTGGTCGACTCCATTAATGTTACAGTCAACTCTATTAATGTTATGGTCGACTCCTTTATGGTCAACTCCATTTTGGTCGACTCCATTAATGTTTCGGTCGACTCTGTTACTGTTACGGTCGACTCTGTTACGGTCAACTCCGTTAATGTTTCGGGTTACTCTGTTACTGTTACGGTCGAATCCGTTAATGTTTTGGTTGACTCTGTTACTGTTACGGTCGACTCGTTAATGTTTTGGTTGACTCTTTTACTGTTACGGTCGACTCTGTTACGATTATGGTTTACTGCGTTACTATTTCGGCTGACACCGTTACGATCGACTCCTTTACCGTTTTGGTCAACTCTATTACTGTCGACTCTGTTACAGTTACGGTTCACTCCGTTACCGTTGCGGTCGACTCCTTTACCGGTTTGGTCGACTCAATACTGACTACTCTGTTACAGTTCACTCCATTACCGTTGTGGTCGACTCCTTTACTGTTAAGGTCGACTCCATTACCGTTTCTGTCGACTCCGTTTCATGTTACGGTCGACTCCACTACTATCGATTCCGTTACTGTTACGGTCGACTCCTTTACTGTTACGGTCGATTCTGTTACTGTTAGGGTTAACACTGTGACCCTGTTACCGTCAACCCTGTTTCAGTCGACTTCAGTTCGGTCGACTCCATTAAGTAACAGTAACAGAGTTGACATTATCCACAATTTTGTGCTTTTTAACTCAAGATGCTAACCTCAAACCAGACACCACATGGCATGTCTATAAATGAATGTTGTGCATTTTCCTCATATTATAGTTTTTAATAACAGAGCAGTAACAGAAGTAACATATAGATCATCTATTATTTGTGTTTCCTAAACAGTTACAGCACAATTTATATTAAACTTTTATTTTATTTTTTCTCAAAATTCCAATACCATTTTATTTACACAAAACATTTTAACAATTTTTTTTCTTCGTACATCTGTCTTGTGTACTTCACCAGTTTGTTTTTGTTTTGTATTTCCATCAAACAGGAATTTGGTACACTTGCTACATTTGGAACAGGACCAGTACATAACCTGTATTATAGAGTGATAAATGTGTAGTTTAAGTGCTCTCACCCGTGCTTCATACTTGACCGCCGCTGACAGCAGTGTTATAGCATTCTCCTCTGTGATTCCTCTCTTGATGGTCTCCTGACACAGTCTTTTCAGACGACTCTCACGATAATATGTGGCCAAATCCAGCAGACCTTCACAAGACAAACCACCACCAGAATCATAAACACCAAACAGCATCAATCACACTTTTCAAAACACATATTCTACGCTAATGTAACTGTTGTTTCGCTAAAAATGGTGCAGAAATTAAAAAAATATCCATTTCCTGCTAATATTTAAGCACATTTTTAAACACTGCTGATTGGCCATTGTGTTATTGGCCATGAAGGCTTACGGTCTTAATTATTAAAAGGGATACAGCTGCAGATACTCGCATAAATAAAGCATCATTTGACACAGTTCAATAATAATAAATATTATTTATGATATTGAGATTACTGTGAGGGTTGGACAAGGGGTAGATGTTATTAAAATACAATTTAATGGATAATTTAATAAACAATACTCATTATAATTACTGTTTTTACATTATTGTAAGGGTTGGGAAAGGGGAAGACGTTAATAATATACAATTTAATGGGTAATTTAATAAATAATAGAAATAATTCATGTTAGAATTACTGTTTTTACATTACTGTGAGAGTTGGGGTAGGGTGGACGTTAATAAAATACAATTTATATCGGTAATTTAATAAATAATGTAAACATTTCCAGTTTAAATACTTATAATTTAAAGTTAGAATTACTGTTTTTATCATTACTGTAAAGGGTAGGTTTGGGTTTGGGTAGGAGTTGACATTAATAAAATACAATTTAATGGGTAATTTAATAAATACTACTCATTATAATTACTGTTTTTACATTACTGTGAGAGTTGGGGTAGGGTGGACGTTAATAAAATACAATTTAATCGGTAATTTAATAAATAATGTAAACATTTCCAGTTTAAATACTTATAATTTAAAGTTAGAATTACTGTTTTTATCATTACTGTAAAGGGTAGGTTTGGGTTTGGGTAGGAGTTGACATTAATAAAATACAATTTAATGGGTAATTTAATAAATACTACTCATTATAATTACTGTTTTTACATTACTGTGAGAGTTGGGGTAGGGTGGACGTTAATAAAATACAATTTAATCGGTAATTTAATAAATAATGTAAATATTTCCAGTTTAAATACCTATAATTTAAAGTTATAATTACTATTTTATCATTACAGTGAGGGGTAGGTTTGGGTTTGGGTTTGGGTAGGGGTTGACATTAATAAAATACAATTTAGTGGGTAATTTAATAAATACTACTCATTACAATTACTGTTTTTACATTACTGTGAGAGTTGGGGTAGGGTGGACATTAATAAAATACAATTTAGTGGGTAATTTAATAAATACTACTCATTTTAATGACTGTTTTTACATTACTGAGGGTTGGGGTATGGTTGACGTTAATAAAATACAATTTAATTGGTAATTTAGTAAATAATGTAAATATTTTCAGTTTAAATATTTATAATTTAAAGTTATAATTACTGTTTTTACATTACTGAGGGTTAGGGTAGGGTGGACGTTAATAAAATACAATTTAATCGTTAATTTAATAAATAATGTAAATATTTCCAGTCTAAATACTTATAATTTAAAGTTATAATTACTGTTTTACATTACTGTGAGGGGTAGATTTGGGTTTGGGGAGGGTTTGACATTAATAAAATACAATTTAATGGGTAATTAGATAGTATAAATAATACTCATTAACTTCCGGCTGCAGCTGTATCCCTTCTAGCACTGACCAAGGTTTACCAGTCTTCTCCACTGTTCACCAAGGCTGCATCACAAAAACATATACTTCCCTACTTTATAGTATGTGAAAACCTGTATGTGAGCTGATTAGCATGTCTGAATCAGATTTTTGTTAATTTTGGAGGTGGGTGGATGTGGAATGTGACATGCTGGATTTCAAATACCTTATATATTTATGACATATTCAGTGCAGTTATAAAAAATATATATGACTATTGATCTTTGCTTTAGCACTTCTAGAATGAATGGGATTGTATACCGATTGCATCTTCAGGGGGGAGGTTGATCGTATCAGTATACAGGTACTCCAGGAACGCACGATACACCAGATAAGAGAACTGATGAATCTCAATGGTCTCTTCGTCGGTTTCATTCAGCAGTGCTCGGAAATGCTCACACCTATTAACACAAGCACAATATTATATTTCTTTTGTGTTTATGAACACAAATGCAAGTTGTGTGTTTGCTTTTAGAGCACACTAATATCTGTTGGGTTGTTTAATAACATTTAAAACCTGTTCATGTGAAGAATCATCACTATAAAGGGAACTATAATAACATTAGCATCCACACCAATTTGTGGTATCGTTCTCTTTAATAATTGAAGGGAACGTTAAGCCAAAAATATGAGTTTTTTTTCTGTTTAACGCAAAAGAAGATATTTTGAAGAATGCTGGCACCAACTGACTTCCATTACATTACTAAGGATTCAATGGGTGATTCCAGCATTTTTCAAAACATCTTCTTTTGCGTTCAACAGATGAAAAATCTCAAATATGTTGAGAACAGGTGAAAGGTGAGTAAATGATCAATGATAAAAATTATGAATTTTCAATTTAGTGGGAACTAACCCTTTAAGTGCACACTTCCGTTTTGTCACTTGCACTTTAAAAGCTCTTTATATGATACTGAAATTTAAACACACACACACACACACACACACATATATATATATATATATATATATATATATATATATATATATATATATATATATTAGAGCTGCACGATTCTAGCTAAAGTGAGAATCGCGATTTTTTTGCTCAAATTAAAGTTCATGATTTTCTCACGATTTGGTATATGTAAAATAAAGGTATGGTAAAAACAAACATATGACACAACATCGATAATAATATTATGTGTATTATGTGAACTGGTTTCTATAAATAATTATATTCCACTTATAATAATTCTGATGTTGAATTATTATGTTTGAGATATATGCCTGCAATCTGTCATATTAGACAAATTTATTCACTGGTGAAATCAGACATTTGCCATTTTCAGATTATATTCAAGAATATATAGGCTAGAGTAGTTATACTGACATTGTAAACATTTATTTTCATGCATAACTGTGTGTTCGCTATGAAAGAGAAAACATATCAAACGCTTGTCATAATCATAACTCTAAAATGTGATATGATCATTTAAATGAAGTGCACACTTTCGGTTTCATTTTGACTGCTAAGTGAGTGCTTGTTCATACTTCACGCACGGCTCCCAAACGATCACTCTGTGCCACAAACTGAATATTATTTGCAACTGTATTACCTGTTACTCGCAACATATGCAGGTTCTGTTCACTAAAGTAGACGCGCCCTCGTCTATCATTAAGTAGAGCACGCGCGCGCCCTCTCTGTGATAACAGCTGACAGTCAGCAGCTCGTCATGTGTGATTTCCCGATCGCAAAAACATCATTATATTAAGACAAAAATGACATTTTTAGGTGAATTATAACTTATAAATACATTATGTGACTCATTCAACATCATTTGGAGGTGTCAATGTCACTGAGCAACGTGTGTGAAACAATGAAAAGACTCGTGCAGCCGCCTCTTCTTCTCTCCTGAACTTGAAAATATGATTGACAGAATTGTAGAAATGCTGGATTAAGATCGCCTAGGGGGTCGAATCGAGAGCGCGATCGTTTAACGATTAATTGTGCAGCTTAAATATATATATATAGGCTAGTGGGCAGACCTGGACCCCTACTCTTTTTCAAAGGACATCCTGGGATTTTTAACGACCACAGAGAGTCAAGACCTCGGTTTAACGTCTCATCTGAAGGGCGGCGCTCACTGAGCAGTATAGAGTCCCTGTCATTATACTGGAGCATTAGCACCCACATAGACCACAGGTCAGGCGCCCCCTGCTGGCCTCACTAACACCACTTCCGGCAGCCACTTAGCTTTCTTACGTGGTCTCCCATCCAGGTACTGACCGGGCACAGCCCTGCTTAGCTTCAGTGGGCGACCATGTGAGAGTTGCAGAGAGCTAGCTGCCGGCAATCTGTATATAGCACCGGTGTATAGCACATTTATCATGTACGGTCATACACTCAAAGCGCTTTACATCCACTTGAATGATGCGACGGCAGCCACAGGACAACGGTGCCAGTCAGCTCACCACACAACAGCTATTGGTGAAGTGGAGAGTAATCAAGCCAATTCGGTCAATGGGGATGATTGGGAGGCCATGATGGATTACCGGAGGGCACCAGGGTTACTCCCCTGCTCTTTACGAGAAGTACCATAGGATTTTTAATGACCACAGAGAGTCAGAACCTCAGTTTAACGTTCCACCTGAAAGACGGCTCCCACTGACAGTATAGTGTCCCCTTCACTTTACTGGGGCATTAAGACTCACACAGACCACAGGTTGAGCGCCCTTTGCTAGCCTCACTCACATTACTTCCAACAGCAACCTAGTCCTATGTGGTCTCCCATCCAGGTACTGACCAGGCTCAGCCCTGCTTAGCTTCAGTGAGTAACCAGTCTTGGGCTGCAGGGTGATATGGCTGTGGCATAATGTGGTGCAATCATAGAAAATATATGGACGTAGTATCCGTGACGTCACCCATAGGTTTCTAAAGAGCGCAAAAGAAGCCACAAGTAGGTGCGGCCAACCGTCGCCAATTTGTTCGCACGTCATCACACCCACGGCGGGATACCAAACAAGGGCAAAAAGGCGGAGAGTGGGCGGAGCTACAGACACCTGCTGGCATTTAGCTTGGACCTGGTTCAGATACACTTTACTTTGGGAGAACGCTTAATACTTTATCACCTGTGACCCGTTTGTATTCTGACCACTTGTGCTTGGTCGTATACTATATCAATAAAGTGTTTAGACTTGTAAAAACACTGCTGTAATACACAGAGCCACTGAACATTATTCTTATGACGTTTTTCAACAGGAAGAAAACGCGAATTACTTCCAAACACTTCAGATATAGTCTGTGTTAATGTAAGACTATTGATGAAATCCAGCATAACACTGTATGACAACGCTTCAGACGACTGTTCTAGAGCCTACAGCTAATCAATCTGTCAGCTCTAAATATAAATATAAACGATAAATGATCTTAAATAAAACAAATACATGTATAGAGATGGTATATAAGCATATAAACTTTACTCACATGGGAAATGGAGGCCACGTGAATGGTTTGTGAGCACAATTAAGTGCACTCAGCATGCCATGCCATCTAATAATTGTAGGAAACAAGTCCAAAAGGCAGTTGACTGTGTAAAACCACATAAAACAACACAGAAATACGATAAATATGCCGAGTTCAGTGGCTAATCTGCAGGATTCAGCTGAGGTGACGTGACAGCGACAAACGAGACCTAGCTGTCACTCAAGTGGCCACGCCCTTAATTATGCAAACTTAATATAAAGGAAACGGATGAGTTATAAAAAACTTCACCCCCCCTCACAGTTGTCATGAAGGGTAATATTAGCTGTGATAACTAAAATCTTTTTTTTGTACCAGGCTGTAAACACCTTTTTTTCTGCTGTAAAGTTGGCCATTCTAACAGTGGGCTCAATTGAAATTTGCTCTGTTTTGGAGCCAGGAACGGCCAGGACTAGCGGAATTTCGGATGAATTGCAGTTTTAGTTACTTCCATATTGGCTTCCTGAGGGAGAGCGGGAGGTTGCCGCTTGGGTGCAATGCATTATTATTTCTGCTTGTGTATTTTTTAAAGCTTCCTCTTCAGTGTCTTGCCTGTACATGCAGCTCGGCCAGGAGCAAATAAAAACACCTTTCAGCACTGAACTGCTCGGTTCAGATAAAGGAGATATGCTTAAAATGTTAACTGGTGATAGTAGAAACACAATGAGTGGCACGTATGCAACCGTGCATGCATACACAATCAAGCAAGTGTCTGTACATGTTAAAGTCAACAAAGTGCAGCTTCTTGAATTGAACCTATTCGATAAAGACTCTGGAGGGGAAAACACCGATCCTATGTTCAGGTGTTCTTTGCATAACTGAGGTTCTTTTTAAACTTGATGCTATCTCAGGTACACCAGGAAGCTGGATCAAATCCCAAATCCCTTATACTCCATTACCAAAGCAATTAAGAGTGCAGAATGCTTTTAGAGCTCGTGTTGCTCGACTGAAGGTATCAGTTTACCTGATTTTAAGAAGGGCTTTATGCACGTGGATACACTTCCCGTCAACCAGGAACTTGAGGTCAGAGATGTCAGGGCTGTCGAACTCTCGCTTTAGCGACTGGGCAACAGTCAGATAGTCGTCTCCATCTAACGAGCCAAACAAAGTCAGAAAATAATAGATCAATGTTTAAACCGGGTGTGTTTTTTTTATTGCACCACACGGTAAAAACCTGCAGGGTTCCACACAATTCCTTCTAGAAAGTTAGCTCTATTGTTTTTACAATTTTAAGTGGATTGAACATAAAACTATTTCAAGAGTTCATACTTGGATATTGTTTGACAAATGTTTGGCATGCTGTCCCGGGAGAGAACCCTGAGCTCGGAAATAATTGAGCCCAATGGCTCCCGCCTGGTCTAAGCATGTAAGGCAGGAGTCACCAATCTCGGTCCTGGAGGGCCGGTGTCCCTGCAGGGTTTAGCTCCAACTTGTCTCAACACACCAGCCTGGATGTTTCAAGTATACCTAGCAAGACCTTGATTAGCTTGTTCAGGTGTGTTTGATTAAAGTTGGAGCTAAAATCTGCAGGACGCCAGCCCTCCAGGAACAAGCTTGGTGACCACTGATGTAAGGGGAGTACGAGATCAGGTAGTTCTCAAGAGCTCCCCTTGTTAAAGAAAGAAAGAAAGAAAGAAAGAAAGAAGGAAAGAAAGAAAGAAAGAAAGAAAGAAAGAAAGAAAGAAAGAAAGAAAGAAAGAAAGAAAGAAAGGGTGGATGGGGGGTTTCTTTGTAAAACAAAGATAAGGGAGTGATTTTAGCTTGGCTACTTACAGTGAGTTTGGATTAATCTGATTGGCTAACTAATGATTGTAGATGAGAGACCAGCTGCGGTCAATCATATCACGTGCTCCTCTCGAAATTAGTTTACGAAACTTCACTAAGTTAAACTAAAGTGTAGGTTCAATCAACTCCTATTTAATAAGTAGTTCGAACAAGCAGCTTAGGTCATTTTTTTGGAGTTCAAGCAGTAGAAGTAATAACTTGCTACTTGGAATATACATCGGCTAAAAAGTAGATACTAGCTGACAATAGTCCTGTCGCCCATCCAAGTTTTAGGAATAACAAATAATAACTCAACGTCCAAGGGATCATTTGGTATCAGAAGTTGCTAATATGAAAGGCAAAAGCCTCAAGATGACGCTTATTTTACCAAAATAAAATATGATCATGCCCTGATTTTTAATTATTTAATTAGGACAGTAAGGTCTGACTTTGCCAAGACAGAGGTCTTGTCAACTTAACAGAAAAAATGTCAGATAATCGCAGAGTTCATCAAGATTCTTTAGATTCGTCTTCAATGTCTCCTTCATCTTACCCCAAACATACTCAATAATGTTCATGTTTGGTGACTGGGCTGGCCAATCCTGGAGCACCTTGACTTTGGCTAAAGTATGAGAAGGAACTATATCCTGCTGGAGAATTGTCCTTCTCCAGTGGTTTGTAATGTAATGTGCAGCACGAATGTCTTGATACCTCAGGCTGTTGATGTTGATCATCCACTCTGCAGATCTCTCGCACGCCCCCATACTGAATGTAACCCCAAACCATGATTTTTCCTTTACCAAACTTGACTGATTTCTATGAGAATCTTGGGTCCATGTGGGTTCCAGTAGGTCTTCTGCAGTATTTGTGATGATTGAGATGCAGTTCAATAAATGGTTCATCAGAAAAATCCAACTTCTGCCACTTTTCCAAATAATCAACTAGAAGTCAAGTTATTATTTGTTGAGCTTACAACTGGAATTGACAACAAGACTTTTGTCAGGTAGTGTATGTGGTGTGTGTGTGTGTAATAGAAACAGCATATCTGTAATGACCAATACTTAGCAGTCATTTATGGGAAAAATGAGAAAAACAACACTTTAAACATGTAATTTAAAGTTGTATTACAAGTTTGACTTGTGTTTGTCATATGTGTTTGTATTACACGTATGACTTGGCAGGTAAAACCAAGTTGTCATAGACACTACATACAAACATGGGAGAATAACAAAGTCTGAATCATAATAATAAAAATATAAATTATTCTAATAAATTCTTTTCATTAGTTTAATTGCAACTCATAACTCAATCAATTTCTGCTTGAGTTAATAGTGAAGTAATAATAAATAATAAAAAGGTTTAGTAATATGCAGAGCCCCATACATAACAAAGAAACAAATAAGCAAGTAAAAAAAAACAGTAGTCGAGCTGCGTTCACTTAATTTAAGCTTTAATTAAGTGATTCTCTTTTTTCGTTGTAGTTTTTCCAATGTATTTCATGTGTTTGTCCCTCGTTATGGCATCTTACAGTAATGTGTCATCTAAAATGAGTTAAAATCAGCTAATGATATCAGAATTATTGAACGATACAATATTTATAAATGTTTTTTTACGTAAACCGGATGAGCCAGTTAGGCAAATCAAAACAGTTTGCGGTATGAGTCTGCACAGATCTACAAGCTAACTGAATTAAAGCTTATTTCTGGATGTGCCTGACAGTCATTAAGACTAGTGAGCCAATTTCAAGAAGTATAAATGATCTTTTCATTGTATCAGTGCTCACGTTAGACCAGCAGTACACTGAACTGAGCTAAAACAGCCCTGACATGCTGAGAACTGCCTGTTGAGGCAAATTGCTTTCTGATTTCTTTTGCTTAAAAGTATTAAATCAAATAAAATGTACTGGAAATATAAGAGATATGATGACAGTGGTTCTCTACTCAACAGCAGAACACATGTAACGGTCAGGGTGTCTTTGGTCAAAACAGTTCTTCAGTCAGCTATATTTTACAGACGGTAGCATATTTATTTGAACCACTGCCTCCTATGTAGGCAGGGCAGAAACAAAACATGCATTGATAGCCCTACCCCTAAAAAACTGGAAGCCTCGCCCTAAAGGACTAATAGCCCCACCCGAAAGGACGAATAGCCCCGCCCTAAAGAACTGATAGCCACGCCCTAAACAACTGAAAGCCTCGTCCTAAATAACTGATAGCCCTGCCCTAAATAACTGATAGCCCCGCCCTAAAGAACTGATAGCCACGCCCTAAACAACTGAAAGCCTCGTCCTAAATAACTGATAGCCCCGCCCTAAATAACTGATAGCCTTGCCCTAAATAACTGAAAGCCTCGTCCTAAAGAACTGATAGCCCTGCCCTAAAGAACTGATAGCTCCGCCCTAAAGAACTGATAGCCTCGCCCTAAATAACTGAAAGCCTCGTCCTAAAGAACTGATAGCTCCGACCATAAAGGACTGATAGCCCCACCCTAAATAACTAATAGCCCCGCCCTAAAGAACTGAAAGCCCTGGACAGCCCTGCCTTAAAGGACTGATAGCCCTGCCCTAAAGGACTGATAGCCCCATCCTAAACTAATAGCCCCGCCCTAAACAACTGACAGCCCCGCCCTAAAGGACTGATAGCCCCATCCTAAACTAATAGCCCCGCCCTAAACAACTGACAGCCCTGCCCTAAAGGACTGATAGCCCCATCCTAAACTAATAGCCCTACCCTAAACAACTGACAGCCCCGCCCTAAAGGACTGATAGCTCTGCCCTAAAGAACGAATAGTCCTAACATTTTCCCATCATATAACCCAGGGGTGTCCAAACTCGGTCCTAGAGGGCCAGTGTACGGCATATTTTAGTTCCAACCCCAATTAAACACACCTGAACCAGCTAGTCAAGCTCTTTCTAGGTATACTAGAAACTTTCAAGGAGGTGTGTTGAAGAAAGTTGGAGCTAGACTATGCAGGACAACGGCCCTCCAGGACAGATTTTGGACACCCCTGATATAACCGCACCAGCCTGACATTGCGATTGCGATCTGATTAATCATGCAGCATTACCTCTGAAACACAGACATTTTAAAGACTATTTAAGGCCTAATTTTTACACTATTTATTTATTATTTATATATTTTTACACTTAAATTTGAGGCTTTTTAAGTATCTGCGAACACCCTGAGTAAAGATTAGGAAGTATAATGCCTCGTCCAGGGTAGTTAGCCTGGATGGTGTCTCTTACCCACAGACAGCAGGTGCCAGGTGACGGCTGGTGTGGCGAAGCAGGCGAAGACATCGTCGGTGCTGGTGAAGTGGGTGAGGTGAGGGTACGCCACAGCCTGACCGCGACACTGACCCCACATCAGCACCTGACCGCTCTGAGTTTTGGCTGCTGATGTGTGACTGGTGTGACATGCAGCAACCTCCACCATCCTGCAGGAGACCACAAGCTGCTGTTACCACACGAAACACAGGGATGACCCTTCTGTGTAAATTGACTACCCTTTTGTTATGTTGGGGGCTGATTTTGCCCCATTGACTTGTATTATAATCACATATTTGATTCAAGAGTTCTTGATTGTTTTTGGTTTTCCCAGATGGGAATAGTTAAAATGTGTAATTTTAACTGTTGATCATCAGTTGGCAGCATTAAAGTTTTCAGAAAGGCCTCACCTCTCCTTGTCCATGTTGATGAGGGTGGGCACCGCCTGGTTGCTCTTATTGCCTGTGCCCAGCTGCCCATAAGAGTTCGCTCCCCAAGAGTAAACAAATCCCTCGTCTGTGAGAGCCAGTGTGTGAGCGTATCCACACGCCACCTGCAGACACAAACACACTTCAGGACTGAGAGAAAAACACATGATTTACTGGAGCACCTGTCATCTTTGGTTGATGCATGTGAATGTTTACAATAGTGTGTGGTAATAGAGATGAATGCTCGTGTGGCTGAAAAAGGGCGGATGAATTCCGTTTCAAGACAGCTGGTATTGGCGGTATGATAATTTACCACAAATGGTGGAGCTTCTACAGGATTTTATCACTCTAATATTTTATACGACTCTGTTCTCTTTTGTTTGAGCCTTTGGATAATAAAAAAAGACAAACGATGTGTCTTCTAACTAAAATAAGATGATTTATTAGCTATGTTCCTTACTTCCACTTGGGGATACTCATCCCGAGGCTTCTAGAGATTGCGACCTATGAAGAGATGATTCCAACCATAGAAGACTCCTAGAGGTCTCCATAATCCTGGACAAGGCCGTATCCTGAACAGATGGTATTATGTTCATAAAGGAGTGGAGAGCATAAGATTGATTCCAGAAAGACCCCAGGGACAGACGAGTCTCCACATTGATTCCGCAGGCTAGCCTGAACACCCGCCAATGACTAACTCACACGTTCAGCTTCTGCATGATGGATGTCTCCAGCATCCAGCGCCTAGGCTGCAGCTCTGCAAAAAAAAAGTTTGGCCCAAGGAAAATGGTCGCGCCAAATTGAGCCAGGTTTTTCTCAAGGTTTTTTCCTTCACTTACATCAATTGGTGAAGTTTGTTCCTCGCCACTGTCGCCACTGGCTTGATTGGATTGGGAATTGTTGAGCTGCGCATCAATGGATTTGCTCTTCAGTGTTTGGACTTTCAGCAGTGAAAATAAATCCACACTGAACTGAACTAAACTGAACTGACTCTGTTTCAGTTTACTAGATCTTCTATGTTAAGCTGCTTTGACACAATCTACACTGTAAAAGCGCTATAAAAATAAAGATGAATTGAACTGAATAAAATGGGACTATAAAATAATCGGCAAAACAATTAAAACAGTACAACATTTAGCTATAAAATCTAATTCACACACATATATTAATAATAATATAATTAAAAATGGTAATAATAATAATAATAATATTAATCATTATTATTATGACAATAATCACAAATATAATAATTTTTATTATTATACCACTAACAGTGTTGTTTTGCATTATCCTCAGTAATTACTAAGTAAAATCCTTAAAATATTCATCTATTTTAGTCTAAATATTCATACAATTGCCCATCCATGCTACTGATGTTTTAATTAATGAGTACAGCCAAATGATAAAAGTTTTGAAAGATACTGTGCAAGTTATAGGGTTCCTATTCAATGCACTACTCATTTTGTTTCATTTTTTATGTCGTTTTATTATGTAATCTTTATGACAATTGTACATAAAGATAACCAAGCTATTTAAAGCCATTTTTCACTGCAAACTTCCTGAATCATGACTGATTTTCTTTCTTTACTATTACACTTCCAGCATATAAACAACATTAAATTAAACTACATTTCCCTGCATTACTTATTGTTTTGAGTTAGTAACTACGTTTACATGGACATCAGTAATGGAATTATGTGCCTTAATCTGAATAAGTGAATAATATGATTGCGTTGTTTACATGAGTTGCTTTTTGAATGTTCCTTTCGTGATCTCGTTTGACATGTTTAGCACATTATTCGATTGTGAATTGCATCATCACGCTCTCCAAGTTTCCTCCAGAGCTTCATGTAATTTCGGGCGTTCCATTTTTAATTTGTTGACTTTAACTGCAGTTTGGCACTTTCACTTTCATTCAGGAATATTTCATGCATGCCCCCGTGACAAACAAGATATTGGATGAAAGTATGAAGTGCTGAAAGAGGGTAGTTTTAATGGAATTTCATACTGCAAGTCGTATGGGGAAAAGGCTCTGCATTTTGCAATGCGGATACAACTGTTCGCTACCACTTAATCCCAGAAAACCCTTCAATCTCAGAAGTCCTCTTTGGTCACCTGTATGATGTTGATTCCCTGTAAGGCGGCGATCCGGCAAGGGGTTTGCTGATTGCCGTTGTTGCCCAAACCGAGCTGCCCATTGCAGTTATAACCCCAGCCGTATGTCTGTATATTGAGAGAAAAAAGTATATTATATTACAGTGATGTCTATTTTATTACTCATTCATTCATTCATTCATTTTCATTACGACCCGACCCCGGAAAAGCGGGAGGCAGCAGTCTTAAGAGAGAACCCCAGACTTCCCTCTCCCCATATACTTCCTCTAGCTCCTCCAGGGGGATCCCGAGGCGTTCCCAGTCCAGCTGAATGACATAGTCCGTCCAGCTTGTCCTGGGTCATCCCTAAGGCCCTTCTCCCGGTGGGACATTCCCTAGGAAGGCGTCCAGGAGGCACCCGAAACAGATGCCTGAGCCACCTCAGCTGACTTCTCTCAATGTGAAGGAGCAGCAGCTCTACTCCGAGCTCCTCCAGGGTGACAGAGTTCCTCACCCTATCTACAAGAGTGCGCCCTGCCACCCTGTGAAAGGAAACTCATTTCAGCCACTTGTATCTAAGATCTTGTCCGTTCGGTCATGACCCAAAGCTCATGAGCATAGGTGAGAGTAGGAACGTAGATTGACCGGTAAATCGAGAGCTTTGCCTTTTGGCTCAGGTCTTTCTTTACCACAACAGACCGGTACATCGACTGCATTACTGCAGCCGCTGCACCAATCCACCGGTCAATCTCACGTTCCATCCTTCCTTTACTCGAACAACAAACAAAACCCCAAGATACTTAAACTCCTCCACCAGGGGTAAGAACTTTCCTTCAACCTGGAGATGGCAAACCACCTTTTTCCGGTGGAGCACCATAGCCTCTGACTTGAAGTTGCTGATTTTCATCCCAGCCACGTCAAACTCTGCAGCAAACCACCCCAGTGCATGCTGAAGGTCCATGTTGGATGAAGCCAACAGAACAACATCATCTGCGAATGACAGAGATGAAATCCTGTGGTCACCGAACTGCACACCCTCCAGCCCAAGGCTGCGCTTTGAAATTCTGTCCATAAAAATTATGAACAGAAATGGTGACAAAGGGCAGCCCTGCCGGAGCCCAACATGCACTGGAAACAAGCCTGACTTATTGCGAACCAAACTCCTACTCTGTTCATACAGGGACGAGACAGCCTTTAACAGAGCGCCTCTGAGCCCATACTCCCGGTCGAATGCCTTCTCAAATCCACAAAACACATGTGGACTGGTTGGGCATACTCCCATGAACCCTCGAGCACCCTGGTGAGGGTATAGAGCCGGTCCAGTGTACCACAGCCTGGATGAAAACTGCATTGTTTCTATTTTCTTGTGAACATTTTAAACAAAATGTTATTGCAGTATGCTTGATAGCTTTATTTTAGATGTATCTCTATTTTATAATGTGCACTTTTAGTAAAAGTGCTTTGGAACAATTGTCATAATAATTATCGTGAAAGTGCTATACAAGTTGCTGGTATATTTTGACTAGGCTAAGATATTCCTCTTATATTCCGGTGTTGTCTCGTGTGCAATATTCAGGTAAATTCAAAGCCAAAGGCATATGTGACATTATAAAAATGTTTATTAACAGATTACAACTGAAAAATTCAGAACTCAGACATGCTTATCTTGTTTTAAAGGGGACCCATTTTGCAAACAAATCACTTTTGTAAGGGGTTTAAACACAGTTGTTTGGCAGCAGTATGTGAATATAACCAGCCTTTTTTTTCCAATTGTTTTTACAATCACACTTTGATTGACAATTATTTTTTTGTCAATCAAATCAAACAGCTCCAAAGCTGTCAAAAAGTTTTTAAAACTGTACCTTGAGAACATTTGCAAGTGTTCTCAAGGTGCCTCATGAGTAGGCACAAAATGAACCTGATGGCTGAAAGACACAATCAACACCTGCCACATATCGAAGCATTGAGTAATAGATCATGCCCAAACAGCAGCCAAACATGTCCTGAGCCAAGCATGCTCGCTTCATCACAAAATAAAACACACAATAAATCAAATACATTCGATCATGCCCTGTTACAAACAGCTTAAGTAAAAATGATTACTGAAATTTGAACTCTTTTACAAATATTTTCAGTGTTTTTTTGGTCCAGAGTCTATTTTAAAGACTTGGTTGTGTTTCTAAAAAGCAAAGCAATGTGTTTTCATGCTTTATTTGTAAAAAATCAAATCACGTTATTCTTTTATATATCTAAGGTTAATTATATAAAGCTACTCAGCTAACATGAAAACAACTGTCGTTTTCCTAGATCCTCCGAAAGACCCGCCCTCAAGAGGCTCTGATTGGTCTGCTAACATAATGTGCTGTCATTCATGGATCGGCTCTACGTCACCAGGAAAAGAGCCGTACTTCTATTAGCACGCGCTGTGCCATTGTGTAAACACTGTCAGTCAGAGTAGCTATTAGCCGTATCGGCTTGTGCCTGAATCATGTAGCCGCATGTTTATATGACCGTCATCTTTACTGTATGCATGTTTTAATAAAACTGATAACATAATTGCCTTCATTGAAAGTTCGAAACATGTAAAAATACCCTGTCTCTTTTGCTGAAATAAATCACAGACTTTTCATTTTTGGGCGAACCATATCCTTTAATGAAAACACACCTCTCCATTGTCCAGGACGGCCATAGAGCAGAGCTGTCCGCAGGCGATGTTCACCACCACCTTGTTCTGCAGGCAGCTGCTGACCCGCCGAGGAGTGGGCTGATTGGCTGTGGATCCAGAGCCCACCTGACCCGAGTTGTTGTAGCCCCAGGCGTATACCTGCACACGAGAGAGAACAAGAGATCAATGCTAAAATCATTAAAGGGCAACTATTATGCAAAAATCACTTTTATAAGGGCCCATCCGCCTCAAGGTTGGACGTGTTGTGTGTTCAGAGATGCTCTTCTGCAGACCTCGGTTGTAACGAGGGCTTATTTGAGTTACTGTTGCCTTTCTAATAGCTGGAACCAGTCTGGCCATTCTCCTCATACCTCCGGCATCAACAAGGCATTTGCGCCCACAGAACTGCCGAGCACTGGTTATTTCCTCTTTTTTGGGCCATTTTCTGTAAACCTTAGAGATGGTTGTGCGTGTAAGTCTCAGTAGATCAGCTGTTTCTGAAATACTCAGACCAGCCCGTCTGGCACCAACAACCATGCCACGTTCAAAGTCACCTAAATCCCCTTTCTTCCCCATTCTGATGCTCGGTTTGAACTGCAGCAGATCGTCTTGACCATGTCTACATGCCTAAATACATTGAGTTGCTGCCATGTGATTGGCTGATTAGAAATGTGTGTTAACGAGGAGTCAGACAGGTGTATCTAATGAAGTGGCCAATGATTGTACATATGTAAAGCCACGATACACCTGTCTAACTTCTCTTTAATGTAAGTTTCTAATCTGCCAATCACATGGCAGCAACAGAATGCATATAAATATATATGCATGTATGTGTGTGTGTGTGTGTGCATGCATGTTAGTCAGTTCTAACCATAGACTTTCAAATATATGGACGTAGTATCCGTGACGTCACCCATAGGTTTCTTAAGAGCGCAAAAGAAGCCACAAGTAGGCGCGGCCAACCGTCGCCATTTTGTTCGCGCGCCATCACACCCACGGAGGGATACCAAACAAGGGCAAAGAGGCGGAGAGTAAGCGAAGCTACAGACACCTGCTGGCATTTTGCTTGGACCTGGTTCAGACACACTTTACTTTGGGAGAACGCTTAATACTTTATCACCTGTGACTCGTTTGTATTCTGACCACTTGTGCTAGCTTGTATACTATATCAATAAAGTGTTTAGTCTTTTAAAAACACACTGCTGTAATACATTGAGCCACTAAACATTGTTATTATGACGTTTTTTAACAGGAGGAAAACGCAAATTACTTCCAAACACTTCAGATATAGTCTGTGTTAATGTAAGACCATTGATGAAATCCAGGATAACACTGTATGACAACGCTTCAGATGACTGTTCTAGAGCCTACAGCTAATCAATCTGTCAGCTCTAAATATAAATATAAACAATAAATGATCTTAAATAAAACAAATACATGTATAGAGATGGTATTTATGTATATAACTTTACTCACATGGGAAACGGAGGCCACGTGAATGGTTTGTGAGCACAATTAAGTGCACTCAGCATGCCATGCCATCTAATAATTGTAGGAAACAAGTCCGAAAGGCAGTTGACTGTGTAAAGCCACATAAAACAACACAGAAATATGATAAATATGCCGAGTTCAGTGGCTAAACTGCAGGAATCAGCTGAGGTGACGTGACGGCGACCAACGAGACCTAGCTGTCACTCAAGTGGCCACTCCCCTAATTATGCAAACTTAATATAAAGGAAACGGATGAATTATAAAAAACTTCACCCCCCTCACATATCATGAAGGGTAATATTAGCTGTATGAACCAAAATCTTTTTTTGTACCAGGCTGTAAACACCTTTTTTTCTGCTGTAAAGTTGGCCATTCTAACAGTGGGCTCAATTGAAATTTGCTCTGTTTTGGAGCCAGGAGCGGCCAGGACTAGCGGAATTTCTGATGAATTGCAGTTTTAGTTACTTCCGTATTGGCTTCCTGAGGGAGAGCGGGAGGTTGCCGCTTGGTTCTAACTCCTCTAGATCAATGGGGGAAGATCATTTCACTGTGGTGAGCTTTGAACTGAAGGCATTAGGTCTAAGGAAGATTGTCTTGCTCTTTGTCTAGCTTTTTTATCGACAATCAGACTTTCACTTTCTCTGAATGTTTTATATTTTGCTCCAGGAGACCCAGAAGTCCCGTAACTCATTCAGGATATGCATTAGGGCTTCTTCTACCGTAATATACCTGAAACCTGTTTTAGGGGAATTGTGAGACAAAAACAAACATCTGCTTAGTGTGGTGTTGAACATGATTGTTTATGCCTGTTCAGTAAAATCAGGATTAATTTGCTTTAATGTGAAAGAAAACTAAATCTACTAAAATGTTCTGTCCTTTTCTTATTAAGTACTGTACTTTAAGTTCCGCAGAAAAACTTCCTTTTAGTCCTGTTCCAACTAGTAATTTTAAAGAACCTTATTTTCCTCATGACCAAAGAAGATAGTTTGTTTAGTAAATGCGCCTCCTGAACTATAATACAAGTAGAGACACGTTTACTCCCCAATGTCTTTTGATCAAGAAACATGAGAAACTTTTTCCAAGGTAAGTTGTGTAAAGCACTTTGTTCAACATCTATTTTGTCATTTTAGAGTGATGAAACATCTCCTTTACCTCTCCATCTGTGGTAAGGGCTATGGTGTGGTGAGAACCGCAGGAAACCTCCGTCACCCGCTTCCCAATGAGGTTGGTGGAAACCAGTGCGGGCGTCAGGCCGTGATTGGTGGTGCCGTTTCCCAGTTGACTGTAGCCGTTGTGACCCCAGGCATAAACCTCTCCATCTACAGACACGCAAAACACACAGAATCATCATCTTATCTGGAACAAGTTATATACAAGAATCAGAGAGTGAAATGCAATACCTTTTACCATACATTTTAAAGGTGCAGTATGTAAGTTTGACACCCAGTGGTCGAACTAGGTATTGCACGCCGGGTTCAAAACACACGCAAGGGCAGGTTGTTAAATCGATGACACCAACAGGAGAGTGCCTGACTATCAAGCCTAAAGGCTGATCTAAGATGGATTTAAAACGTGTTATAAAAAATAAAACGGCACATTCTAGAAGGAGTATTTTCCATATTAAAAGGAGTTTTGTTCAAATCAACACCTCAAATTGATATATTAGAAACAGCTTATATTCTCGCAGCTGAACAACAGAAAACTGACAATGATCAGCGCAGGGACACCTCATATGCTTTAGTCAATGTTAAATGCTAATAATGTGAGTTTGAATGCCATTTTACACTATATTTATTGCCATACTACTGAAAGCAGCAGCAGATAGTTCACCTCAAATCTGGAAAATAAACCATTTGAAACTGAATTTTAGAGCTGTGACTCTGTAAACCAACACATATCAGTGATTCAGCATCTACATTTAATAATGTTAGAGCAGTTTAATATGTATTAACTAGATTATAAACCTTACCATTTCGCTGGAGTGCAGTGAGCGCACTATTCTGTGCTTCTGAATGGCTGTATTTACATTTCTGTCGTGCTGCGTCTAGTTCAAACATCCAAATTGTTTATCACTGCAATTCTTGTCATGTAGCATGTTGTTAGGACACACACCTAATGTTTACGTTCGTAATATTTATATTATTTGCTAATTAATAACCTCATGGGGAACTCTGAATTTGAGTCGTATTTTAGAGGCTGCTACTGCCCACCGAAAGTCGCATTTCGGTCGTGGACGCACATTTTCAGAGCCTTCCTGAGTAAATGATTGAAATACGGTGTTTTTCAAGAAGACAACCGCGGTGTTAAGATATAATTGGCTAAACTGGCATTGGCCGAGTTAAAAGAACCAAAACAAAGACAGACATTCTGGCACGCAACACACATTTTTAGAGCAGAATATCTCACTTCAGCATTGTTTTTCGGATAAAAAAGAATGTTCACTTAGCATGTTTCTCAAACATCTGCAAACGTGGTATTTTTACGCTTTAGTAGACTCAAAAATTTACATAAAGCCCCTTTAAGACCTCATCGCCACTTTATGTTTCAACCAAGCAAATAGGCCACAATTTAACTTACATTTACTAAAGACTGATTGTTAGAAACTAATTCTAAACTAGGGCGACGCGGTGGCGCAGTAGTTAGCGTTGTCGCCTCACAGCAAGAAGGTCACTGGTTCGCTGGTTCGAGCCTCGGCTGGGTCAGTTGGCATTTCTGTGTGGAGTTTGCATGTTATCCCCGCGTTCGTGTGGGTTTCCTCCGGGTGCTCCGGTTTCCCCCACAGTCCAAAGACATGCAGTACAGGGGAATTGATGAACTAAATTGTCCGTAGTGTATGTGTGTACAGCTGGAATGGCATCCGCTGCGTAAAACATATGCTGGATTATTCTGCTGTGGCGACCCTGGATTAATAAAGGGACTAAGCCGAAAAGAAAATGAATGAATGAATGAATGAATGATCCTAAACTAAAACATTACTCTCATATTGAATAAAAATGCTAATCCACCAGGTGGCCGCTATAGAACAGCAGGAATAACAGTGCTTCCTTGGTTACTGCAGTAAATAAAGCAACATGGTGTCAAACCTAGCAGGATTTGATCATTTTCATAACCTACACAGCATCCCAATATTCGCAGAATAAATTTAGATAAACTTTAGCATACTGATACAAATATTAACACCTTGTAAAGAAGCATTTATTACTACTTTTTAAGGGCCTTAAATTTCTCTGAACTCACTTATCAACTTTTAAGTCCCCGCAGACACCCTGTTGAATAAAAAGTCTTCTGAATAGTGTCAAACAAAAGTAACAAACGGAGTAAATAAAACTAAACTTAAACATGACCACATGTGATTTGATCAAAGACACAGGCCTAATGCTGACCATCTGACATCTGCTGTGGCTCAATGTTTACCTCAGTGGAAAATGAAGCATTGTACGTTAATCAGATGGAGAAAAAATGTGTTTCTCCAAAACTATAAGTTGCAACAGATGTAAAATATTTCTCACGTTGAGTTATCAAAACACAAAAAAAAGCAGTAGAAACATTAATAGCAATCCTGGTAGGTGTCCTACTTTGACTCTCTTTACAAGATGTACGATAACTTCCAGGTTTCTCAAGAATGTGTTTGTGAAGTTTCAGCTCACAACACATCGGGCCCTATCATAAACCCGGCGCAATAAGTCGCAAGACGTGTTTGCCCCGATGTTATGATGTTTTCAACCACGTTGTTTAAATAGCAAATCCATTTGCTCCACTTTGTGGACTCATGAGTGTTTCGGTCTAGAAAAAAAGGTGTGTTAAGGCGCAATGTTGGCACGTTGCTAAATTAGACTGTTCAATAGATAAGCTGAGAGCAGGTCTAAAGTCCAGCGCAGAGCGCGGTAGTTGTGCGCCTTGATTACACATTGCTTAATACACACAGGATGAAGAGCAATACACAAATATCTTTACAAATGAAAAATAAAGGATTAAAATATTACAAAAATTATTATTTTCTAGCCTGCATAAATATAAAAACCATCGCCATCATGTCCTCTTCATCTCAGGGGGCTTTTTCAGTTTATTCATGACAATTTGCTTTTGTATAATGTTATTATTATTAGCAGTATTATTTATTATATTCATATTTATATTTGTTTTATTAAAAACAAGCTTAGATTTGTCCACCTGTCAGGTTTTGGACCATATGGAGCACAGCATGTGTGTTTCGATATAAGTTGTTTGACCACACTTCTTTGTTATTGTTCATTTATTCGTTTGTATTAGAACTGAATTTAGAAATAGTTTTGAAACAAATCTTTGCACTTAACAAACAAAATTAATTATGTAGGCTGATGGATGTCTGTGCGTACAACACCGCTTCCTTATCTACGAAAGAGAAAAAGAGAAAGTCAAAGTAAAGGCTGAATGAAGGAGGCTCATTCTTTATCCTTGCACTGCAGATGCTCTGTTTAACTGTTTTCTCGCTAGTGAAACGTTCAGTTTTTCCACTTACAAAGGTCCCCATGTAAATAGCAAATGCAACGACGCAACTGACTCTTATAGGGAATGGGAGATGAGACTCTGATTGGTTTATTCTCAAAATAGACCTATAACTCATTAAGAGAATAAGCTCAACCCTGTTAGACCATGCACCGAGGTGAAGTGCGTATTTTCCCGTCCTTAAAATAGCAAAAGTGGATTGGGACACACCCTAAATGCTTTTGCGCCCTGCGTTTTAGACTTTGCTCCTAGATCATTAAAATAGAGCCCATCATAACTCAGTTTTTAGCTAAAAACATGTTTGTGTGTGTTCTTTAAATGCAAATGAGCTACTGCTCTCACTCCCATTCAAGAGGGCAGAGACTTTACAGCTTGTGCCTCCACAACAAACAAAACACCTAAATGCGTTTTTAGAGCCTTGTCAGTTCATCTTTTTATGCTTGAGATACTGTTGCCATAAATAAAATAGTCGATATATATACCGTAAGATCAGAATAACAGAAAATAACAGTTTTAAAACCTTGACTTTTCCAAACCGCAGTAAACCTTGAAACCAGTCATTGTCCCATGCCTAGTCTGACCTGCAGTGGCGATGACCACGTGTGGACCAGTGCCGTAGCTCAAAGAGATGATCTTCTTCCCACACAAGATGTCGATCCGCCTGGGCTCTATGGTGCTCTGAGTGTCCCCCAGACCTAGACAACCACTGCAGTTTGTGCCCAGAGCAAACACCTGCACACAGACACACAAACACGAGAGTTTAGCTGCTGCACAAGAACTTACTTTTTATTATGTTTACATGCAGTTAAAGTCAGAATTATTCACCCTCCTATAATTTTTTGGTCTTTTTCAAATATTTCCCAAATGATGTTGAACAGATTCCAGAATTTTTCACAGTATTTCCTATAATATTTTTTTCTTCAGGAGAAAGACTTTTTTTGTTTTATTTCGGCTAGAATAAAAGCAGTTTTTTATTTTTTTAAACTTATTTTAAGGTCAATATTATTAGCCCCCTTGAACAATATTTTTTGATAGTCTACAGAACAAACCACTGTTATACAATGACTAGTCTAACTACCCAAACTTGCCTAATTAACCTAGTTAATACTTTAAATGTCATCTTTAAGCTGAATACTAGTATGTTGAACAATATCTAGTCAAATATTATGCGCTGTCACTATGGCAAAAATAAAATAAATCAGTTATTAGAAGTTATTAGAGTTATTAGTTATTATGTTTAGAAATTTGTTGAAAAAAAATCTTCTTTCCGTTAAACATAAATTGGGGGGGGGGGAATATACAGGAGTGATAAAGCACATCAAGAGGTTATTGCATAATAAAGCCTGACAGGTTTATTGGCAGACCAAAGCAAGGTGGAGCACTGTTGTATAAGCCCAAACAAACTATCCTGGGGTGCATTTCCCAAAACCATCGTTAGCCAAAGATGGTTGCAAGTTACATCATTACAAAAAAAGTTTGTTGATTTGCCATTTCCCAAATCCATTGTTCCAACAAACATTCACAAACTGCATCGCGAACTTGTGCATTTGCAACTACACCTCTGGAGCTATAGCTAGAAACATAGTTCCTGGCTGTGCGCTATTCCCAGTCTTCCCCCTTATGCCCTATTCATTTAGAACATTCTAACATTAAAACTTGGTATGATTAAAAATAAAAAAGCATTAAGGTCATCTCTCTTAGGTGTAATTTGCTTTCAAAGTATTTTTACAGTTCAGTTTTAGCAATCTTCATGTTTACAGTTGTGCTCCCTTTGCAGGGCACTTCGAAAAAATTGATGTCATTTAGAGCACAGCCTCATGGCGAAAGCTATAGGTGACCTATTTTTTAAAAGCAGCATTTATTTTACGTCTCCAAAGCTTGTGAAAACAAAAAAACACAGCATACGTTAAAGCTTTTAATTTATAGTAGATTATTTATTAAGTATCTGTACTGTAAATGACATGGGCCTGTTGGGTAGAACATTTCTGCAGTGGTTTGCATGTGTCAAATTGTAAAAATACACTTTTACATTTTTTTTTAAGTAAATAAACAATATCCTACTTAATAATAGTAATAATAATAATAATAGTAATAATAATAATTATAATAATAACAATAATAATAATAATAATAATAATAATAATAATAATTAATCATCATTCATATTATTATTAAAGTAGGATTTTTTCATTTTCTATTAATGAATATTAAATGTAATTTTTTTATTAAATAGCCTCATTATTTATTTATTTATATAATGTTGTAAGTGATTTTATGCTTTATAATAGAATATGTAATATTCTCAATAATATTTGTAAAGGAAACACAGGCCCTATATGTGCCATTTACATATATTTCAATTAACATGGAAAGTGAGTGCATGTTTTTACCAAAACTAATATTGGATTTTATTTTAAATGCGTGTAAAACAATATAATTTGCCCAAAGTTACTCCACCCCGTTTAGAGCATCATTATGGGCGTTTTGCATTACAACTAACGTGGTTCAAACGATGGATCTGCGACAGAGAAACTACCGGTTTTGGGAAACACTTGTCACTAAATCATTCTTTTCCCAACCGATGCATCGTACTACGATAGTTTAGCTGCAAGTTACATCGTTGTTTGGGAAACGCACCCCTAAACGTACTTTATCCCTCTTATTACCATAGCAATTGAACAAAACATCAATGGTGAAAACTAATGGCTGACGGCTGCTTCTCACTCAGTGCTGTCTATGCTAACGAGGACAGATCATCACTAGTGGGCGGGGCTTTCCCCCTCTAATGACATTAACAAAAGGAGAACACCACTCAAAGTGTTACTGCAGACTGAAGAAATGTAACATTAGATGCAGGTTATTTTCACACACTATTTCCACACAACTGTGTTTAAACCCCTTATAAAAGTGATAGGTCCCCTTTAAAAGCTCTAAACTCCCAAACGTGACCCCAAACCTGTTTACACAGTGCACTTAAACAGCATACTTATTCTGTGTTTCAGCGTTTGATCTCTGCTAATGTGATACCTCTCTGGGTGTTTTTTTTTTTTTTTTGGGTCATATATCTATAAAGCTATAAGATGAAAGAATAGCAAACAGAGCTAAAAAAGGAAGTGTTCAGGGTTCAGGATGTGCACCAGAGCTCCTCTCAGGAAGCAAAACAAGGCTTTTGTTAGCATTACACGCCTAAATATAGCCTCGCTCGATCTGCTTATCACTGACCTAAGATCACTCAGGCTTTGTCACAGTCTCTGCGCTATCAGGGTTTATGTGCTGGACTTTTTCTTTTCGTATTACAATTCTGAAGCAGGAAATATTTTCACAAATTCCACCAATGAAGACAATAAAATAAAAAAATTATATATATACATTATATATATATATATATATATATATATATATATATATATATACATATATATATATATATATATATAAAAATCTATTTAAATGAATAATTTCAAATCATAAAAGTGCTTTTCACTAATATAAATTATTTTCATGTTATTAAAAGAAATTCATTCAATCATTCATTTCCGGCTTAGTCTCTTTATTAATCTGAGGTCGCCACAGCAGAATGAACCGCCAACTTATCCACCATATGTTTTACGCAGCGGATGCTCTTCCAGCTGCAACCAATTACTGGGAAACACTCATATACACTCATTCACACACATACAC